TTGCTGAGACTACTCTATTTCTATTTGTATGATTTGCTATAGAAGAATAGCTGCTACATTACCAACCAATTGCATTAGTGATAAACATCAGAATTAAAAGATTTACCCTGGGACTAAACTATATAAAGATATGAAAAGTGCTTACTGGACCACATCCACTTCCTCTTACTGGATAAACTACTCCACCCTAAAGGAAAAAATAAATCAATTATTGTCATGTAAAACTGGTTGGTAAAACACAAGAAAAGACATCTGCCTTTTACAGGACTCACAATCTAAACCACTATCTAACTGGCAAGATGTATATACATAGATTGGGGAAAATATGTATGGACATTTTCATGTCTGTGGTACATATATGTGATATGATTGGGTGGGACAATTCCATCTCTGTAGGAAGACATTAGTCTTCCTTCTGTTTCAGTATAATTTTATCATTGGTGATGTAGCCCTTTGAGAAACACCTTACAACAAAAGTAGGGAACTAATCTTCTACTTGATCAGCAACTCAAAGTTGCATGGTGGGAGGGGAAAACATTTAAGCACCTTGAAGAAAGAATACTTACTTGGGGATGACTACCACTGCTCTGTGAGGAAATATATATAGTCTGTAAAGAAATAAAAAATAAATTATTTCTTTGTAAAAGGAATTTCTAAGCTTAGCTACTATTACAAACATCTTTGTAGGGGTGAATGACAAGACAAGGTTCTGCATTCCACTGTGCTTCTTGATTCTCTTGCCCTATAGCACTGAAACAATTCACCTCCTTCAATTCGAGTCTGAAGGGAATCTTTTAAAATAAAAATAAACTATAAATATGTAAGTGACACTTTAAGCTCACAACATAGAAGGTATAATTTTACTGGGGAAACAATTTGGTTGAAAATGGAAAATAGCTCATGTTTTGTAATAGTGACCTATGCTAGTAACATGAGGAAGCATCACCTAGAGGAAGTCTTATGAAGGGTAAGATACCCAAATAGTTATAGAAATTGTACAGTCTCCCTTCAGGCAAGTGAACCGACATTCACTTTTGATTCCAGAACTGCAGCCACATGCGTAGTGGCCCAGACCAAGAGCTGGGGGGCCGCTACAGTATGTCTCCCTGCTTGTCTGGAGCAGATTGGGGTAAGACTAGCCTGCCCACCACGCAAGAAGGGGTTTACTGGGGAGATGCAAAGCATTCCAGGATGCTGGGGGACTATGAGTTAATTTGAATCTGAAGGGAATCTGGGACAGAAGTTCAATAAACCAATTTAACCTAAATCAGTTAAGGCTGATACTACATCCATCCAGGTTTATCTTAAACTGGTTTTGGCCATTTTGAAAGCAGTTTATGTGCATCAAACTTCTGTTGTGTTACAGATTTGAACTGGTTTCCAATCACTTATACCAGCTTATGTGCAATTTCTGCCCCTAGTCCAGGAATCAAGATTAAGATAATTAGATTTCCTAGAAATGTCAAGAGAAGAGAAAAATCAAGATAAAAGCAATCTTTTCACATGCAATTTAGATGGCTATGCATACTGCAAAGGACTGGAGATGAGAGAGCATGAAAAGCAAGAGAGCATGTTTTCTTGGGCAAAGGAAGAAAAAAGGGTTGTAGCATTTTAATTTCTTTATGTATCTTTGTAAGCTACTAAGATTTCTTTGTGTCAAAATCCAGGGAAAACGTTCATGCACAAGCCATGCTACTGTTAACCCAAACTTCAGTTTATACGTGTGGTAAAAAGAGAGGTAAAATAGAAACATTATTGCTTGGAACTAAAAATTAAGAAAATCAGTATTTTCTATATAATGGAGGTGTTCTAAAAATGCCTGTTCAGAAGGAGGCATAAAAACAAAATATAAACACACATATAAATGTAAATACAAATATAAATATAAAGTTTATTTTTTAAAGGGCAAACTGGAAGTAACAGGAATGAAGTATAAGAAGTGAAAACTGCTCTCAAATAACATAATAATAAATACATTAAGTTTATCTTTAACTCAGTTGAAGCCAATATAACTAAAACAGAAGTATTTGACCCTAGAAATATAAAAGGGCTATCTTCATTTAGTAAGGAAATTAAAAGCAAATGTCATTGTGTCAAAACCAAAAACCCACATGAACGTATAAATTATTTAGAGGTAGAAATTGATTAATAACTCAGATACAACTATGATGACAGTTTAAAAAGGCCAATAGGAAGAGGCAATGAAATAAATTATAAAAGTAATCTACATTTAGTGCACTGGGGATAATGTTGGAAATATTATTGTATTATGTGAATTTCAGAGTTTTGCAAATGATAGAAAAGAAGTGAAAATGATTAGAAACGCATGTGAAACTTCTATTTTTATGGTCCATGTTGAATGCAATATAAAAGCAACCAGAATAGTCTTGATGTTTAGTTAGATATTTAGTATTATTTAAATTTTAATAATTCCAGATATCATGAAAAGCACAAATAGAAAGCATTGTGAAAGAGTCAGCATAATGCTTGATTTAAAAAAACTAAGGTGGCAAAGTTCACTTTAATTGTATGGATGGGGTATGCAGTAAAGTGTTAAGTTTTAGATCCAGTATGGTTACTATTGCCAGGCATCCGTGAGTCAGTAAGTCTATGGTATTCCTGGACTTATTGGCAGAGACATATTGTTTCACTAAAGTTGGTATAACTCTTCCTCTATAATTTTGGGTACTTAAAAACCCTTTAACTAGTTTTCCTGGAGCATAATTACAACTAAAGGGCAGTTATGGCACTTACCTGGCTGCCTGAGCTACCACTTGAAGAGGAGCCAGAGGATCCGCCCTAAAAACAAGGGACAAACCAACTGGTTATTTTTTAGAGTACTAGTTTTATATAACTAATTGTTTCAGGAAAAGAACCCTACTTGGCTGAATGGAAGGATACAAGAGGGAAGACGGAGCCTATTAAGGGGAGCCTCTTTCCCCAATTAAGGAAATTTGGGGGAGGGGTTATTTCATCCCACAACCTACACTATTAAAAAGCTTGTGAAAGAGATTTTAAAAAACACACAATGTAGACAGTACAAACTGGTGTAAATTAGCATAACTCTACTGACCTCAATAGAGCTATGCCACCTTACACTGGGTGAGGATTCAGCCTCATATATTAATAACCAGCATTTAGGAGCAAGACTGAGCTTGTAAATTCTTCTGTGAGTGCCAGACTAAGCACCCCTCAAAGTTACTGTATATGGCTACTTAGTGATACAATTATGCAAACATTGGAAAATATGAAGAGTATAGCATGGCTACTGGGGCAGAAAAAGGAAGAGAAAACTTTTTCATGAAGATGGAACAGATAATTTCTTAATAAAATTCAAATATTTTATTTAGTTTTATATAGACATCATTGTATACTACTATATAAGGAAGAATTCAGAGTATTTTAGAAAAGTGATCCTGGTTGAATTAAAAGTAGTGAAGGAATCATTATGGTTGGAAAATGAATGCAGAGAAAGTAAGTTAACAGCAGAAAGTTAGTTTAGGTTACCTAACCTAACACAGGAACGTCTCTATTGTATACCAACAGCAAGGACAAATAGCCAGCCAAGAAGTTTATAAATTTTGTTTACTTCAAGGTAAATTACTAAGTAGAAAGAATAAACTGAACAATAATCTGGATAAAGCATGCAATACAGGATGTTTTTGATATAACACTCAAAATTGTGAATGATTTTTTTGACATTTGTGAATAGGAAGCAATGAATCAATGAGCTCTGAAGGAAGTATGCTTACCGGAATACATTTACCACTGCTTGAGTAAGTCCCTCCAGTCTGTTAAAAAGAAATACAATTAAAAGACTTGTGGAAACACCAAACCAGTCTGTGCTTGTTCCAAAACTTTGTGCTTAATAATGATCTGACTGAAGAGCTTTAACGGTATCTCAATCCTGATGTACTTAGTTTTGAGCACAAAGCTGAGGGCATGACATCTTTCTAGTGAAAGAGTTTAAATTAAAGCCTGACTGTGGCTCCAGAATGACTGGACTACAATTTATGAGGAGTTAAGGGAAAGGATGATTCTAAAAAACTTGAGATGATTGGACAACTGGGGCGGGCAGTCTACATTAAAAACCAAACAACATTGATAAAAATACCCATACCATTTATACTCAGGGTGTGATTTTCCTTGAAATGTTTCCACAACAAAAATAATAAATCAAGTACAGTTTTTTAAAAAGTTTTCAGACACTAAAAGGCACTTTAGGAAATTGTAGAAAAACAGTTCTCACCTGTTTACATGCCACTATCACAGTGTTTGAGGACTGTGAAAAAGAAGAAACTAGTTATTGTCTTCTTAAAGATTATATTTCAACACTATCATTTTTTAGGAAGTAACCCACATTTATTTGGTGAAGCAAGGGACCAGAGAAAGATGTTAATTCTTGGTTAGATCATTATCTGATGCAAATTAGCATAGCTCCATTGAATTCAGTGGAGCAACACTGATTTACAATATCAGTCCTCTTTTTTTTTTTTCTTTTCTCATTTTACCTGCCTGTACTATGGCCAAGTTTAATAAGAGGAGCTCTTTGAAAATAAAAGATAATACCTATTATTTCCATCATTCTAATACTATAAAAGCATAAGTCTGCCTGTCTGTTTGTCCATAGAGCTTTATTCACACTCTGATTGGCTGACAGAAACAGCCAATCAGAGTGCTCCAAGTGTGGGGAAGTGCTGCCATGATTCCAAAGCCATGCTGGGGACTAGAAGGAGGTTGGGGGAGGTGAGGCAATTGGCTAGTACTAATATATTAATTCCTGAAAACATCACTTGAGCCTGATGGGCTGGGTAGCAGTGGAGGACAAAGATTATATGTGCTTTATGCCTCTTTGATCACCTAACTGAAATTTGCTCTCTCTACTATACCTTATATCCTGTGTATTGGTTAGGATGATTAGACCCTCTGAATCTCATTTTTCTCATCTGTTGGATGGGATATTAGTATTTATCATACAAAATTCCTCCAATTATTATGAGGATTGAGTAGATAGGGTCAAATTTTCCAAAACATTCATTGATTTCATCTCGCTCAGTTGATAAGTGTCTAACCAAAAGACCTCAGATGGGGACTAGTCTCATATTATAATTTAACTTATCACATTCATATCTAATATTCAGAACATGATATGCTTAAAACATACCTTCTTCTTACTTCTTCTTGTGACATTCTGGGACTCTGAATTCCTTGGTGTAAGAGTTTTGCTCTCTACTCCAGTCCAAAAATTTTCAAGGTCTTTTACAAAAGTTGCACTGAAAAGAGAATAAAACCAGTATGATTTAACCTATTTAGCAATATATATTTCAGCTTATCATATAAGGGACAAACTCATAAAATTATCTCTAAACAAAGAAAATAGGATTCAGTTTTGGCTGTTTGAAAATGTAAGATTCTTTGTATAAATAGGAATCATACAGCAGCTTTCAGGAAAAGATGTCAGAATAAGGCTTGAAGAAGATTACATTATTTTTGGTAACACTTTTATTCTATGATTTCTATTGCAACTTCTAACATCATTTGAAAGTTCAACCACATAGACATTTAGAAGAAGCAGAAGGATAGCTGCTTGAAGAAACATTGACTCCTGTGGTCTATCTGCTCAAATAGCCATCATGTTTGGAGGTGACTTAACTAATTCTCCTCATTCATGGGGAATCACTTCATGACTGAGGAAATGGATTTTATGGAAGCTTGTAGAGGAGCTAATCACAGATTCATAAAAAACAGGTTTAGAAGAAACCTCAGGAGGTCATCTACTGGTAGTCCAACCAACTCCCTGCTCAAGGCGGGATCATTTCTGTCCGACTCATCCCAAACAAGTTTGTCTGACTTGCACTACTATACTGTACAACCCACCTGTGTATTTTTGCCCTTCCTGTATATGTAAGGACTTAAGGGAGTTAAAGTTTAGGTGGCTTTCCTGATTTAAAAAAATGTAATATCTCAGCTATTTCAAATTACTGCTGGCCAGTTCTTGACACATATATAGAGAACTGAGATGCTGGGGTTTTGTTTGTCAATCAAAGGTTTTTAAAATTATACCAAACAACAGCACAAACTTTGGTGCATCTTTTGCACCAGCCTATAAGATGTAAAGTGATGTTTAAAATTAGTCTTCAAGGATTTCCATTTCAATTTATTTTCCCATGCTCAAGATAAAAATAACTAAACTGTAATAATTTTCATTCTAGTGTTAGGAGCAGAGCCAAAGACCACTGCAGTTAACCAAAACGCTTCACTAATGCACAAGAATACTTACATGTGCATAGTTGCTTATATTCATAAGGAATAGGGCCTTAAAGTGTAAAAGCTGGTTTATGAGCAAAGGTTCACTAGCAGTCCTATTGATTTAGTGGGACTACTTGTGTATGTAAAAAGCTGCATGACTGGAACTGATATACAACACTCATTTTGCATAGAGTTAAATTAAAATGTTAATTGCTTTATCACATTGATACAATGGTATAATCATGGGACATTTCAGTATGGTTCCATTGACTTTTCAGTCTTATATGCCTATTTTATATTCTCTCTCTCATGTGTACGATTGTGTATACTCTCTCATATAGATCGATATAGATACAGTGGTAATCTATAGCAAACTATGGGAGAAAAACAACACAGTGGTAACATTATTTATTATTATGTATCTATCTGGGTAGGTAGTGCGCTGCCACTGGATTTTTTTTCTTTCATAGCCTGCAATAGATTATGATTGTATCAATATGATATACATACATATATGAGATATATAGCTATATCTCACATAAATGCGAGAGCGAGCATGTGCATGCTTGAGAGCTTATATTAGTCATATAAGTCTTAAAGGTCAATGGAACTGTATTAAAAAGTCCCATGAATATAAAATAGAAAAGAAAAATCAGACATACCTAAAGCGAACATCCTTAGCTTTGGAAGGGGCAACCCAAATTGTTGTAACTTTGTTCTTCACATCTGAGTTTATATGACTTACTGCTGAATTCTGTAATACAAAAAATTCACATTAAAATTGAAAGTATTTTGACTTGTATATATTTGTTTCTATAAACAAAGGAATTTGGCTACAACATCCTTGCATTTGCATCTGTTATGTGATACTGCGTGACAAAGTTCAAAACTCTGGATTTGACTCAATCAGAAGACACGTGTATTGGTTAAGGAAACAAGTACATTTCTTTTGGTAGATATTGTTACTTTATCACTTCAGCATAGAAAAATGCTTGCTTTTTTACTGGTATCAGTAAAAAATGTAAAGGTTAACTAAGCTAAAATCACTCCTCTGAAAGAACAAGCACATACCGAAACATTATTACAACTAAGGCCTTGCGTGTTCAGATCTGTAATTTTAAAAGTGCCAACAGGAGCATCTCCATCAACTTCCCGAGCCTGTAGAAGAAATCCTTGAAAACCGGACTTATCATTTCCATGTAATGTCACTGGGGAGAAAAGATGTTTGGAGAAATGTAAGTTTCAAACACTGTGGAAGCAAACAAAATATTTAATACATTTCGCAAACCTCAAAGCATCCATCTGCGTGTACAGTAATGCCCGATGCACTTTTATACTATTTTTAAATGTCACATTTTTATTACAGTTTTTCTTAGCTACAGGGAGAAGGACAAGGAAGAAAAGAAACAAAGCAACATAGGCATATGCACTTATGTGACACATTACTACGCATATTTGTGAAGTAATTAAAAAGCAGATGATTATAGACAACCTTAAAATAGAATTCTATTCTTTTCTCCAAAGTGACTGTACAACTGGAAGCTTTCTATTCATTTGATCTGCTCCAAGTGTTTGCAGCCTTACAAGTTGTACTGATAAGAAAACTTTTCTGCTTCTTCTTTCTGTTAGGTCTGCCTGGTAGAAGACAGATTTCAGGAGGAATTTGAACTTAGGAGTCAGGAAAGAGCAGTGGCTTTTGAGCCCAGCTCAGGAAGGCAAAGGAATGGTATAGGAGAATGGCAAAGTAGTTACAGGAGAAGTAATAAATGGTATGCTGTTGGTGGACAGAAGAAGAGAGGAGGAGCAAGGAACAGAATTCTTTAAGGCCTTGAAGACAAGCCCACAAAGCTTGGGGCAGTGGAAATGAGAGAGTCAGTAGAAGAATTCAGGAAGGGTGTGGCCAAAGGAATAAGAAAGGAAGGGGATTTTACTAGCAGCAAAGTTTCATTGCATATTTTGCTGTAAACATTCTTCCAAACATTCACAATCTGCTTGTCATTTTGTTGCTAGAACTGCTTTAAAATTAACAATCACTTTTCAGTATCCATGCACTTCTGTCACCTTTGAGCAGCTATTAGCAAGCCTTATTAAAACACCATGGATTCCAGGTACAAAAGGCCATATATTCCTCTGTTTCTATGTTGTCACCCATATGCTGTTTCTCATGAAAGTGCTCTCGTCTCAACTCCCAACTGGTCCCTTGGGAATCAAGAAATATACCAGGTGCATAGCTGGACAGAAGCTATTCTGTGCAGAATGCTCCATTTGAGTTGCTTGGGTTGCACAGTGGAAAATGGACAGATTGTAACTTCCCTCCACACAAACTGATGGTCTTAATGTGGTAACATGACAAACTGGGGGTTGGCGCAACTAAGGGTCATAGGATTATTTTAGAAGCCTTCAGGAGGAAGATTTCTTTAGAAGCAGAGGGTCCCACAGACCAGTGGTACTACTATTATTTTGAGTTTTGAGTTCCTTGTAGCTTCAGAGGGCATAAGTCTTACCCCTGTTCTGCTCCAATTACATCAGGTATAAAGGGCAGAGTCCCTTTCTGGGGACCCAATTCTAAGCCCCCACTATAGGGGCTGGGCCAAGACTAAGGCTAGGGAAAGGAGGGATGTAAAAAGACTTAAGTCCTGTGAATCCTTGAGTCTTGTGAGTCTTGCAATCATTGGTGTTTTTCTGCTGGACTCAGGAGACTACAGGTTAGTTTCAGATTTCATTAAAGGAAAAAATTGAGAGTATTTTATAGGAAGTTCACTGTAGCTCTTCTTCCTCCTGGACTGAAATTCTGTGCTAAAGTCAAAACCCATCATAAAGACCCATTTGAGTTTTAATATGCTGAGTTTTGTAGGAAAATTTTACTGCCCTGAGAGATGGTAGCATTTAAACTGCTTGAGGTTAGTACCTTTTTTCTGTTCAGTGCCGGGCACACAGCTAATATTCAACAAATGAAATGAAACCAAAGAACAAATATTTCATGTGGGCCAGCTTTGACACACGACTTCGCTTTCATCACAGATATAGGAGGAATGAGACACAGTCATATTTGTTAGGGGGTGGGGGGGCGGGATTGAGAAAAACAACATCATCCCAGAAGGAGACAAGGTATAGGCAAGTGGGAATAGAAGGAAAGGGATCTGCTTCAGAATATGTTGTAGGAGAAAGTCAGCTGGAATTCTGCTGAAGCTGGAATATGTTGCAAGAGGGAGACAAAGTTTTTAAATTAGTCATGTTGTTTACCTTCAATTTCATTTCCTGGGTCATAGCTATCAAAAGCGGTAGTAATGAGGTATGGTGGTGGTGATTTTTGTGCTTCACCTTCATAGTGTGGTAACATAGAATCACAATCTATTGAAGTGTTCACATGTGGAAAAGCAAGGATATTTGGTAAAAATACCCCACAGAATAGAAGCACACAAGGGTAATATTGCCCCATCTGTGGAGAAAGGAACATATAGGTTATAGCAACTTCTCTGTCAGTGGCTATCATAGTTGACATGTAGCTCTTCTCCCACAGAGCAAAAACCAAGACAAGTCTACAAAGCTTGATTTTGTATTTTCTGCAGAAAAACTGTAACAATAAAATACCTATAACTGATGCAACACTGCAGTAAAGTATGCTAATATTTCCTGCTAAGCATTGAGGCATTAGTTGAATGCTCAGTTCTCTCTGGTTATTTGATAGCTTCATAAGTCTGGAAATGGACGTGACCCAAACCTCCACATAACTGGATCCAGAGGTTTGGTTCAGCTCTGTCTTTAATCAAGATGGGTCCAATTGATAAACCCCTGGGCCTCAGAACATTGCTTGGGCTTGTTACTAGAACCAGGACCCGTGTGGTATTTCCCAATGCCACTGCTTCCAAGGGACTGCTGAGAAATCTTTCATTAAATCTTCTGGTGAACTCTCAGTTTGAGTTGTTTTATTAGTATGCTAGTTTATGTAAAAACAATGAGGGAATTAAAACTAAAAGAGAACTTAAGCGAGACAGCCAGGGAAGAAAAATATATTCCTATAATTCACCCCTAGTGTTAGCATCCACGATATATTGTTGCAAAGAAGAACATTCCAGAAGTTTTCATGCATTTAAAACCAGATTTGATTGCTCATAATCAAATCATCTTTATATAAACTTCACTACTACATCATTTGCAAAACCCATCAACCATTATGAATATTTAACAATGTCCCAGTGATAGTACTGATTCACTGTGAAATTCCAAGAATTATTTAATAACCCTTCCTATTTCTCATGTCTGTCTGTCGCTGGCTTGTCTCATGGGGCCATGCATGGCTATAATAAGACCACAAGAAGAAATTTTTCAAGACTTTTAACAGAGCTCATGATGTACCTTTTTCTTTTTCACCTACCTCTATATCTATTTTTCACTAGTGAGCAAAACTACCTTTTAATTATCTATGAGGAAAAAGATACCAAAAGAATGATGCAAGAGACTAGGCTATATAGGTCTGACTTTGAACTGAAACTAAATGCCTTATCAACAAGTCACCATGTCAGTGGTTAAGAAAACCAGGTGGTTGCGAGTTCTATGTTGAAAGATCTGAATCATAATTCACTAGTAGGGAGAAGCTTCTGAGGATTTGTAAGGTGTCAGACTCATTAACTGTGGTGAGCAATCAGGAAGAGAGAGATACTGTCCCTCCCAAAGCTCTCAGAGCAATGCTATTTAAATAGAATCCTTGTAAGTGTTGTGCACAGGTAACAGCTTGGTGGGTGTGATAAGCCACTTTCTTGTGACTGTTTTGACTTGGTCTATCTCTAATTAAAATTTAAATATGGTATGTGGGTGTTATGACTGCAACAGCTGTAATAAACAGCGAGTTAATATGCACTCTCCTATATGTTGTTGAAATCCTTCTGTCTGACTAATGGCACAGGGAGGAATGTTTCTGTTTCTAATTGGATACTCTGTATCTATAGAGCATCCATAGCAATAATTTACCTGGCACTAGAAAAAATCCACCTTGACAATTTTGTTCTGGAGTTGTTGAGTTGTTCTTTAGTTAGATATACCTTGGTCTGCCCTGAAGGAAAATCTATGTTGAATCTCACATTTGCCCACTGTTAGGGAGATGGAAGTACAAAGGTAGCGGGAGAAACGATTGATGCCATCTTCCTTTTGCATCAGCTCTTTGTTAAAGTTTGAAGATCAATGATGGGAACATCTGAAAGAAGTCCCTTTATTCTGGACAGGAGATGAAGCTGTGCCATGGCACCTTAGAGAACGGACTTTAAAAACGAATAATAACAGCGGAACATCTTAGCATTTTATTAAATTCCAAGGCTGGACTAGAGGTAGGAGCATAAAGGTCCCAATAGGAATCCCAAAAGAGAGTCTGATGCAATCAGGATCTCAAAGCTATGGCTACCTTCATAAAAACATATATTTGCTATAAGCCTAAAAATAAATATTTCACATGGGTACAGGTAGACTTTCTAGTGAAATAAAGAATCTAATTAAAAAAGTAAGGTCCTCACTGCTCCATGCAGTCAGATCTGCTACATTATAGTAGTTTATATATCATACACACCTGAAATCAGAAGTCTTCTCTTATCCAACAATGAACACATTCGCTCCTGTCTGCCTGCATGCACTTTAATAGTTGGGCATGGTTTAGGAATAGTGAATCCTGCATCTTTGCAGGGATTTACAGTAGATGACTCTGAGGGTGCTTTCACCTCTTATGGAAACATCCAAATGAGTGACAATGTGCAGTTCGTAGTGCTGCAGACACATCTGTGGTATTGGAAACTGCACATGAGGCACATGCAAGCATTTGCTATACTGCTAATTTGCAATGCGGTGGTTTTTTTTCAACCTGGAAGATCCTGGTGTCAAAAAAACCTGAGGCAGAAAATAGCAGGGTAGCGCATGTGGCAGCAGTGTGCACCACTCAGAACCATAGCCTGGCTGGCCGGAGCCCCACTCTGGCTGCTGGCAAAGCTCTGCATGCCCGAATCGCCGCTGCTGGAGCCCTGGGAGGCCCCCAGGACCTCAGGTAAGGCTGCTGGGGTCAGCCCAGGTACTGGCCCTAGCCTCCCCTTCCCCACCCAGGGCAACTTGCAGCGTGCTAGAGCGTGTGTGCACAGGCATTCCCTGGGAACAAGCAGCAGTGGCACAACTATGTGTTGCTGCTATTTGTCCCTAGGAAAACACATGTGAACACTCATCTGCATGCACCCTATGATTCTATAATTCTAAGGTTCCACATGGTTCCCTTCACAATATTATCTTGCCCTGAAAACCTCCTTTCACAGTTAATTTAGTATAACTTCAGGTCAGCATACACTTCTGAGATTTCATGAACTTCAAGACAATTTGATGACTTCACTCTCTAAGATATTTGGCAAACTTATGAATAGAGACAAAAGTTGTTAAAAAGACTTGAAAAGCAAAACAAAAAATTAAAATTATAATAATTTCCCAGTAGTCTGAAATACAGCACAAGAAGCCCTACTGTCCTTCCAATTTAGGGCTCAGTTCTGCAGCCCTTAAGTAAACACACCTTTCTCCTTTCCTTTTAAATTCCTAAATCCTGTTGATTATCCATAAACATACTCCATAGCCTTTGAGAATAAAGAACATCTGGTCAAAGAGCATCTTCCCCCCCAAAATCCCAGAAACGCACCTCACTGGCCAAGTCCTGATCCGCAAGCAACCTCTGATCCCTCTGTGGTCAGTGCTCAGCAGTTGAACTGTGAAGTGCAACAGTCTGGGCAAGATGAGACAGATAAGATGGGAGGATCCACCAATCACAGTCAGGGTGGAGAAAGGAAAGTAGCCAATCAGTGACACTGGCATTTCCACCTTGGAAATTAGGACATAAATTGCAATTCTCTTATCCAGGTGTTGCAATAACTACTTACACTGTTAACAACTGGATCATACCTTCCCTGACCTTAAACTGCAGCTACGGAGGCATGTAGGACTTCGAAGGGTAATAGTTCAACCTGTATGCTATAGGGCCATGGCATACCAAAAAAACTTTTTAATACTTCATGAAGAGTTAACATGAAAAAATATTTTTAACTGTTACTTCATGCCTTTTGGCTCTACCTTTTTACTTCTTCACCCCAATATTACAACTGGAAGGATCTCAGAACATTAAAATAATGGTGATGGTTGGAAATACCTACATGCTTCCATTCTCAAAGAGCCAAAGAAAGTTGGTTTGTGTCATTTGGCAAATTTTTGAAAAACTGCATGTTTTGAGGGAAGGAATAAGCAGCTTTCAAATCTAGTAAAGGCTATGAAATATAATTTCAAAATCCATAAATGTCATTTTTACCCTACAAGAATTAAATGAGATTGGTTTGCAACACTGGATCCACTGAAAAAATAATTCCAGTTTTCCATACCTTTATGATGTGAGACATATACAAGGGCAATATATTGCCAATATGGTAAATTGGGACTCTGATAAAAAATTGTCCACTATAGACTTACATGCTATGTACCAGGAGATATGTGCCAGTATAGAGAAAAGGTCTATTTGTATTTCCATTTAAGAAAATCCTTTCCTCATATTATTTTATTTATTATTCACATTGTGGTAGCACTTAGGAGCCCCAGTTCAGGACCAGAATCCTACTGTGGTATATATTGTATAAAAGATGGGCCCAGCCCCAAACAGCTTACAATATTAGTATAAGACAAGACCCAACAGATGAATACAGACAAAAAGATGGTGGAGAGGGTCATAGAAACAACGGGCCAATAGTGGTCAGCATGATGAGCAGTTGTCTGATAACCAAAGAAGTCAGCAGCACTGGGTCAACAAGCTTTGCTGCATATACATTGTATATAAAAGTAAATCAAACACAACAAACACTTACCACAGCATGCACATTATGTAATACTGAAGCTGGGGTGAAACCTGGAAAGAAGAAAGGTAACAGACTGTTCTTTTCTGGGGAACACTGGGAGAATGCATGTCTCTTTAGCATTATCTAGCCTGGACTTGAAGCAAAGCTATTTCCCATCAGAAGTATTTTATGAGCCCTGGGGATAATCTCTAGCAGGACTAATTCAGCATCACCCACATATGGGATCAGTTTCAGAATACCAGGTGTAACAAACCATCCCGCATGGGGATAGAACTTTACTCTGGGCTTCTCAGTAACTCCCCAGTGTACAACTCCCTCTAAATTCTTGATTGAAATGCATCTTAATCGCATCAAAAACTTCTTTATAATGGCATTTTAAAAACATGCTTTGGATGTATTTTTATTAATTACATTTTCTTTCAATTACCGTATTTTCTCACTTAAAATATGTGCATTTCTCTCCAAATCAGCTGAGGGAAATTCAGATGTGCATTATATGCAAAAAACATAGATCCTTAGGGGTCCAGAGATTTGGTGGCAGGGGCAGTTGCAGCAGTAATTGTGGCTGCTTCCTGAGCAGCTCTCTGGAGGTGGAGGAGTCCCAACAATTGATGCTGTCCATCGTTGGCTTGGCTACCTGACACGGCACAGCACGCTGGATTGGGAAGATGCCTAGGGTTAGTCTGTGGCTGGACCCAGCATGTGGACCTGGACCCAGAGACCCCAGACCTCAGTTATTTATTCATACTTGAAGGTAAGTTATTTTTTCCTCCTTGGGGGCCATTCAAAAGGGAAGACATGGTAACTGCCTTTAATTAATTATGTGAATAGTACAATATTTACATTATTTAATCATGAACCATGCACATGTCAGATCATGGTGAGATAGGAAGCCCCTTGTAGCAGAGATCCTATCTTCTTCTCTGTACTGTACGGCACCATGTGCAATGTTTTTATTTAATTTATGTGGTGCTATGTACTGTAAGTTCAGTCCTATTGGTAGTAGTCAAAGTATCAACCAAAATGGGTAAAGAATTGATTGCATTAGTAACAGATATAGAAACCTGGGACCTTAGAAAAACCTTTGCTTTTATATATAAAACAATTCTGTGTTTTCTAAACTGTTTTCCAAACTGCCAATTCAGTCACATCTGTGCCAGGGTTAAGACTGGACTCTGCCCCTTCTTGTTTGCTCTCCCAGAGAGAACGGGCAAACATTCTATTTCACAGTCTCTCCATGCTTCTACTCCTCCATGCATGTATTCCAATTTTTTAAAAAATCAGCTTCCCTACTTAAGATATGCAACCCGATTTTTGGGGGGAGGGGCTGATTTTAGGGGAGAAGGTGCATGTGGTATGTGAGTAAAGTTAGTAATATTTATAAAATTAGATATCCAAGAGGCAGAGTCTAATACCCCGACTGCAACTGACTATCTTACTCGATCAATAGTTCCATTTGGGTCAATGGCAGAAATAACATAATTCTCACTGAACTCAAACACCTTAGACTGAATACACTGCTAATGGGAATATCAGAATGTGATCTCTACAACAGCACCAAGTACTCTGTGAATGCCTGGCTTCACTGATAGGCACTGTTATCATACTGGCAGTGTCAATGCAGTGCAAGATTACAGTTACAAAGACATAGTGATAAGGATAGTTAAGTTATATGCCTGTATTTGCTAAAATTTTGATAAAACTGAGGCAGCTGAATGAGACTTAAGCCAGTAAGTCATCAGCTGTGGCTATAAGCTTAGTGCTTTGGCCAGATACAGAACATTACCTCATCTGTGTCATATACAAAGTCCCATGTATTGCATTCATCCACATCTGACTGTAGAACTACCATGTATTCCATTTTAGATGGGTTTCTTAAAGTGTACTTCTGATCTTATGGTTGTAAAGACAACATACATTCCATGTAAACTTACAGTGCTGTCTTCTTGAGTCTGCAAACCATCTGAAACAATAGTTTTGTAAGGTTATTAAATATGACAATTGTCTGTTAACATTTTAACTACTTCACTGATTTATTTCTGATCATTATAGCAGAACCATTCAGCTAGTATCCTTACCTTGTTTTCTCAAACTGTCTCCCATGTTTCTATTGGTGCCACACATCACAGCTGTCCCCTACAGAGCTTCCAAAACTACAAGCTTTATTCTACCAGCTTGCATGAAACCATCATGTATCATCCATTAAAAAATCACCTTTGGCATATTAAAAATGAAATTAAATTAAATTAAATAGATGCAATGAGTGTCCAAATACACAAATATGAAGGTGCTGCTGAGTTTCCACTCCACAGAACAGAAGCATCACAAAATCTGGACCTTGCAGCAATGATTAGGTTGTGCTTGATATGGAACACATGGGCTCAATTATAAGATCATTCTTTAAGCAAAACTAAACTGAAGTATTTTTTGATAATACTTCAGAGATGTCACAATTTTGTGCAGATAATACTGGTTGACCTATTGAAGGATCCTGGTCTTTCTTCCAAAATCATGAGACTAATGTGTAATATTGCAAGAGCAACAACAAAGAATACATCAAGCCATTACTGGTCCTGGTTTCAGGAGACTTCCACTTTAATACATGAGTGACCAGGGTGAACTGCATGTTCTGCATAACAAGAAGGTACTAGCTACTAATGAAATCTTTGAGCTGTCTTTGGAATTGCTATCTACTAGCTGTTCAAGTTTCCAGAAAGGCTGCTAACTGAAGACACATACCACTTCTTCAAGATGACTTTAGATAACAAGTGATATCTAATTCCTGATATTTCACTGTCAGTGATCACAAGCAGTATTTTGAGACACCTGTGATCAGTTGTATCAATATGCTCTTTTAATTATGCAAAAATTATTCTGAAATATATACATACCAGTGTTACCAGAGCTGTGCTGCGAGTGACAAGCAACACCTCCGATTTTTATATTTAAAGTTATTGTAATTATACTCAAAAGTTGACTGTATATTATCACTTGGGAAGAGAAGAATAGATGAGGAAGAAGTAATGAATATAGGTATGTATATTTTCATACCAGTTTAAACTGTTTAAACTGTTTGTCTGAAGTGATGATGTTACACTCATACATAGCTTTCATTGGCACCTTATGAAACAAACAAAACAGAATAGAACAGGAGAGAGATTTTTTCCTATCTTTTCTTATTACTGTATTATCTGATGGCTTGTCAGGGAAAATGACTGCTCCTTGTTTTAAGACCACTGCCTTGTTCACTTTCATGTGCTGGCTGCTTTCCCAAGCCATTTCACATCATCTTTTTTTCATCTCATCAGGCCCCTTCCTATTGCAATTTCTTCCTTGTTTTCATATCATTAGATTTTTTCCTGTCTTATTTTACCTCTAAACAGAAATGCATTACATCTATTGCACTATATAAGAGCTAATGGGACACATCCTGAAGGTCCAGTGCGAATTTCATGAGAGTATAAGAAAAAAGGGATGGGTCATTTGCTGTAAACTACTTTCCAGAGTGGACACTCGCATGGTGCGAAATCTTTGGTGCACCTGAGACACTCTCCAAAGTCCAGCCAAAGTACACTTTGTAAGGGTGTGCAAAATGGACTGTATTCAATTCAGATTCGGCCCAAATCGGAGACAGCAATTCGATTAATTGATTCGGATCACTGTCCCTGATTCGATTCAGCTGAATCAGAATCTGAAGATTCAATGCTGATTCAGAGAATCAGCAATTCGGCCATAGGCATAGCTTTAAATGCTTTTTCTACACACCTTGAGGTACCAGAGTAGCTCATGAATGCTGCAATGCTGGGATGGATGAAGCGTCCCACAATGACAACCAAGAGGCAGGCATCACCACAGTGTCCACGCATGGCATGACGGACAGCCAGAGCATACCGGTGCAGAACAGCTTATGCTAGCCATCATCGGAGTCTCATATTGTGCCTGGAACCCCAGAGCATGTGCACTGGGATTAACATCACTCCAGCGAATACGACCATGGCCTCACCGTCACCTGCAGAACCCTGGAACTGTTCCAGTAACCATCCACAGCATAAATAGTCTTGAGGTTTATGGGCGAAAGAACATCGTTGTTTTACGGATTCTGCTTAACCCAATGGTTGACCACCCTGTGAGTAGTCTCCTTCGTCAGTTGCCAAAACTGCGTATCCTGATGGAGCCAAAACTGTCCAGTGATCAGGAACATCAATGCCCAACTGAGGTTCAAAACACAAGACGCCGTGAATCCGAATGTCCAGTGTTACCCCAGAGAACACCAGAGGAGCGATACATGTTTGGATTTCTCCTACAGCATTCTGGACTTAATAAGCGGCAACTTCAGATTTTGGGGGACGCGGGACAATGGCAACTGGCCTACGAGTTAGGTTTTCATTACCTGGAGGAATTTGATGATGACTCCTCGACGATTTCGTCGAGTTGAGTGTACAAAAAAGGCTGTCTAGATTAGAATCGTGTTTAAACACCTGTATTATATGTTTAATAGTGATAGTGAGTTTGATTGACCACTTTATCATGCGGTTCCGTGTAAGTTTTGTAAATATTAGTGAAATAACTGTTTTAAGAAAGTTCTTTTGCAGATCTGGAATTCAGAGTGCGTGGTGGAGAAAAGCCCCGAGAAGGACAACATCACC